TGTTGATTCGATCGCAATTTGGGGTATTCTTTTTAAAGGTGATCCCCGTTAGGTTAAGATCCAAGCTAACTCCCAGCCGAATAACGGTGTTTTTACTTTTTTTTCGCTGGCGGCTAATAAACCATCGTCAGTTTCTTATGGTTGACTAACTTTTATAGAATGCACTAACTTGCTGTAACTGTTATATATTACATCGTTAGCAGTGATTATAGCGTCTTGTAATTGGTACCACTGGCCTCCTCATTCGAAACCAAAACAAAAAATATCTTTTTAAATATTTTTTTTATCACTTCGTAACTCGCCATTCATTATTATCAACGCATTTCCATGTTTTACGCAGAGAGTGTTTATCTTTAAAACACCGTCTACATAACGAAGGCCTTTACCTCAACTCTCTCTCTGCGCATGCGTGTTTTTCGGCCGCTCTCCTGCGCTCAAACTCTTTCTGAATTACTCTGCGTTTTGGGTGAAATAATCATGACAGGAAGTAATGGGTTAGAAAGCTGATAATGAGACGCAGGGAAGCGAGGTGTGACGGCGGCGTCTCTCTGTCTGTGTCTATGTCTCGTTTTTCTCTCTCTTTCTCTCTCAGTTTCTCTCTCAGTTTCTCTCTCTCTCTCTCTCTCTCTCTCTCTCTCTCTCTCTCTCTCTCTCTCTCTCTCTCTCTCTCTCTCTCTCTTTTCTTTATTTCTCTCCCTCTCTATCTCTTTCTCTTCTCCCACCTCTCTCTCTGTCTCTCTCTCTCTCTCTCTCTCTCTCTCTCTCTCTCTCTCTCTCTCTCTCTCTCTCTCTCTCTCTCTCTCTCTCTCTCTCTCTCTCTCTCTCTCTCTTTATTTCTCTCCCTCTCTATCCCTTTCTCTTCCCCCCCTCTCCTCCCCCCCCCCCCCCTCTCTCTCTCTCTCTCTCTCTCTCTCTCTCTCTCTCTCTCTCTCTCTCTCTCTCTCTCTCTCTCTCTCTCTCTCTCTCTCTCTGAATAGTGTCTATTCTGAGACACCCTCATGTACGTATGTTATTTTAGTTTTCTTATTATTGTTATTTCCCTTTTCTTTAATTCTTACTTATCTCAAGCTTCCATATTTAAATAACTATTAGACTCTTTTGGGAATGACCTTTATCTGCTGATTAAGACATAAATCACACTTGAAGAAACGCAACTCGTCACAAGAAAATTTCATTGACCTTGACTTTATATTTTCGGCATTAAGACATTACATCTCGTTGTCTTTAATTCGGTGCTAAATGGGACCTGTTCACATAGACATGCACGTGCAAGGGGTACACAGACCACTCCCCTCCCCACCCTCCCATATCGTTCATTAAGTCGCAACGTCACGAAAAGGATAATTAACGAGGAATCTGATTGGTTGCGGTAGTTCATTAGGGTAAAGTTGATGGTCGTTATTTTAGTTGAGCTTTTTGTTTTGTTTATGTGTTATTCTCGTTCGATTGTTCATTTTCGTTTTATTTGTTTGTATTGATATTTATTTATTGTGGTTTCCGGGATTTGTTTATGGTCTTTGATTTTGTACGATATACATTTTTTTAATCAATATTTTATACAACTCGAACCATGTTCCCTATTACCTCTCCCTTATGATGTGTTTCTTATTGTTGCTATCGTGATGTGTTCCCTACCTTTCCTTTCCTCTGTGATGTCGTGTTCCTTACTCTTGCTCTCGTAATGTCGTGTTCCTTACCTTTTCTCTCCCATGTGATGTGTTCCTTACCTTCTCTTTCCCTTGTGATGCCATGTTCCTTACTCTTACTATCATGTTGTCGTGTTCCTTACCGCCTCTCTCTTCCTTGTGTTCCTTACTCTTGCTCTCGTGAAGTCGTGTTCCTTACCCCCTCTTTCCCTTGTGATGTCGTGTTCCTTACCCTCTCTCTCCCTTACGATGTCGCCTTCCCTGCCCCATGCCCCACCAAGTTCCTCCCGCCGTGTTCCTTGGCCCCAGCCCACACGCCCGCCTCCCCGTGATGTAGGAGCGAGTTCGAGAAGCAGGTTTCGACGAGGAGGTCGTCGCTTGGCCTTGAGGAATGTGTGGGGAGAAGAAGGTGTCCAGAAAAGGAGGACTTTATGAGCGCGGAGGCGGAGGAAGGAGCAGGAGGAGGGAGGAGGGACGGAGATAAGAGAGGGAAGAGGGAAGGAATGTGGAGGAAATAAAAGCAAGGTGGTGGGGAGAGGGAAGGGGAATAGATAAGCTAAATGATGAGGAAGGAGAAGGAAGAGGAAGGAGAAAGTGTGTGTGTGTGTGTATGTGTATGTGTATGTGTCTGTGTGTGTGTCTGTGTTTGTATATCCAGAAAACATGGATATACCCCCGCCTCCCTTTCCCCGTCTACCCCCGCTACAGCTTCGCCCACGCGCCCGGTTGAGAGTCCGAAGAAATGTTTGTATCTATCTACAGACATAAAAACTCGCGTCTCCAGATACTGTAGATTTCTTCGGTATGTTCTCAGCGATCGGGATTTACATAGTCGTGCGGAGGAACGAGAATGGGTATACAAGTATACACACATATATACACGCACACACACATACACAAGCACACACACACACACACACACACACACACACACACACACACACACACACACACACACACACTCACACTCACACTCACACTCACACTAACACACATATATATATATGTATAAAAAAACAATCATCTATATACATGTATATATATCTATCTATATATATGTACACATATATAAACTCACTTCTTTATACATACAAATAGTCATACAATCACCAACAAACATTCATAGAAAAAAAACTAATCTTGATCACCTCACATACAAGGAAACAGACTCACACTCACACACACACACACACACACACACACACACACACACACACACACACACACACACACACACACACACACACACACACTCACACTCACACTCACACTCACACTCACTCACAGACGCACGCACACTCACGCACGGACGCACGCACATACAAACACACTGAGAAACGGAAGCCCCCGATCGTAGATGATATAAGTGGTTGATGTGATTGTTATGTGCACACGTGTACTTACGTGTATGTTTGTGTGTGTAACGGCATGCATTCGCGCGCTGTGCGTGTGTGTGTGTGTGTGTGTGTGCGTGTGTGCGTGTGTGCGTGCGTGTGTGTGTGTGTGTGTGTGTGTGTGTGTGTGTGTGTGTGTGTGTGTGTGTGTGTGTGTGTGTGTGTCTGTGTGTGTCTGTGTGTGTGTGTGCATGCATATACGTGCATGAATGTGGGCGTATCTTGAGACAATCGCACCTGCAGTTTCGTGTCGTAAGGGCGTGGGCATATCTGTCTGTCTCAGGGTTAGTGTATGTATTTTCAGCTCGAGAGGTACGGGATATCGTTGCAACTTTTTTTTCCCCGAATAGATAACTCTTAGCATGTATCACCGTTTTGTCATGGGTGTCCCAGAAACCATTTTTGTAACCGGAGATATCTGATTATTGAAAAAATAATAAAATGTGGATATATATTTTAAAGATTTTGTTGCTGATGATGTTAATGAGTTTGTAAGTGCATTATTGCTTCATTTGTATTATTACGATTCTGTTCATGTCAATTGTTTGGTTTAATTAGTGATTAGTAACAGCTGATTTCACTCTCGATAGGCAGATCATGATCAATGTTGCCAACCAGTGTTCTTTGCATTTTCGTCGGCCGTGGGCGCTGCCTTGAGGATACCCTCAATTCACCTAGTTAGCCTCTTGCGTGTGTGGGCGTGGGCCTTCGGGGGCGTAGTTAGGGTGTGGGCAAGGGGACTCCAGCGTCGGGTAATAGTCGTAGCGTAGTCATCGGGGCGTCGGGTCGTGTCGGGTAGTCGTGCTTCCAAGACCGGCCGTGTACTAAGTGGTCTGACAGGTCGGGTCATGTGTCTACGAGGGGGGGGAGGGGTCGGAAAGAAAGAGAGAGAAGGGGGGAGGGGGGGTGATTGTGACCTTTAAAGGACAGTAGTTTGTGGAGAAGTAGTCAAATTTCAGAACTTGATCAAGTGTCTTGCAGTAGGTTCGATTCTGGAGTGTTGTTAAGAGTCGCGTGTTGTGATGTAGACAGTGACCGAGGTTCTGAAAGTGTGATTTGGACAGTGACTGAGGTTATGGAAGTGTGATGTAGACAGTGACTGGGATTCTGAAGGTGTGATGTAGACAGGGATTGAGATCACTTTGAACATTATTTAAAAAGATATATCACTAAAGTCGCTTATATATGTTACATCAAAAGAATTTTCATTCTCATTCATAATGTTTTTCATTTTGGTTGTATGGTGAGGGCAAGGTTGTGGTGAGGACGTGGTGTTGTAGCGCGTGAATAAAAAAATAGAAGAGGAGAAACTGCAAGACTCCAATAAAATAACAACAACAGGGTGATTATCGGTGACAGATCAGACAGGTGCAAGGAAGGACCGGGACCTTGCACTGCAACAATTATCCAAGGCAGATTTATTTGGTGTTGGTCCAAGCTCAATTTATCACACTGTGGTAGACAATATATACTGGTTAAAATATTTAGTAAGGATGGACGACGTGTATAAGATAAGAAAGCATAAAATCACTTCAAAAAGAATAATTTCGAAACGTAAAATAGAAAAAGAATTTCAAAAGAAATGAGTGATTTCTTCACTATTAAAAATAAATATTTTCCCAATTTTTATGTAGACCGAAGATATTTTTAACGATTATTCCATTGGACATTATTGGAACTTACCCATTAATTAGATTTCTATACAATATAAATTCCTATCGAACATTAATTACTTTGATTTCTACACAATATAAATTCCTGCCATCATCATCATCATCATCATCATCATCATCATCATCATCATCATCATCATACACAGCACACGAACCTCACGCCGGATTATCTCTCGCCCCACAACCTGTCACCGCTGAATACCACCTCCGTCATCTGCCGTGACATTCATCGCCTCAATAACAAGTGACGATCCTTCCGCACTAACGAGACGCTCCTTCTTCCACAG